TGGCAAGGTAGTTCGACGTCTGATTGCCCTAAAAAAGACCGGTGAGCTTCTTAAGTAAACTCTTTCTTGACTAAAGTTTACAGCAATTGTGACTGCCTGGATACCTCAGGGTGATCTTCTCTGACCTGCAGTTGAAGCCCCAGACTGATCGGGAAAAAAATTACAAAGTTTGAAGCTTTGGAGCTAGTTGTAGTGCTCTTTCCCAACGTCTTCTGGTATAACGTCTAAGACGTTGGTGTTTAAAGCACCTTTTTTTTGCAGGCTCAGTTGTTTCTATGATCTAAGGTGAAGGGGTAGGTTCGTGATGCTTGCCCGTAAGAGACTCCCGTTGGCTCAAGTTTTTTTTTTTTTTATAGCTCTTAGGTTCGCCCAGCGCAGACCTTGGAGAGGATTGGTGGTTCCTGGTTGAATGCTTAGGGTCGAGAGGGTAATATAGGGTCGTCACTGGGGTTCCCAGCCTTGCGACGAACAACTCCGCTTGTGACATCTGCCAGTGGATGACTGACTTGGTTTGATAATGGCCGGCTTTACATAGTCTTTTAGTCGACGAATAATGTTTCGGGAAATGGTAGTAAGAATGTATTTGTTGGCAAGGTAGTTAAAACTTAGGTGGCCCTTAAAAGAACCGATGAGATTGATGGTTAAGTAGTGAACGTAAATACTTATATTGGTCCTGAAAAAGGCCAGTGGTGAAATTTCCAGTTACTCCTTATTATTATTCTTGATGATGGAGAGCCAGCTGTAGGTAGCTTGACTCGTAGCCTTGGAGTCTCTGTGTACGGAGACCGTTCATGAGAGAGATACGCCGCTGATTGAAGAATATCTCGTTAGGTCGTTTCCCGGATAACCAATGGCTCATAGTTAGTAGGGAAAGTGGGCCTGGAAAATACCCTCATTGTAAGTATGCCGTTGGAACGACCACTAAAAAGTTGGACGTTGTGGCTGCCCGTACTTTTCAGGGCTGTCTTCCCTGGCTTACATTTGTAGTAAAAAAATTTCTGACGGCACCAGGCCAGATTGTGGTACGGCCACATAACTCTGAAGTGGTGGAGCAGAATGTGCTTTGGCTAGACACGTCTCCTGGTATTTCGCCGAAGACATTATCGGTTAGAATACATTTTTTATTGGTGGCACTCGTCAATCCTGGAGGTTTAGGGTAGAAGTAGATCTAGGTCACTTGCCCATTGGAGAAGAGCGTCATCGGTAACAGGGATACCCAGCTGCACGACTAACATCTACATTATCGATGCAGCTCGGTGACTTGCTAGTTAACGGTGGCAAAAGTTTTCGAGACGCTCCAGCCTATTATAACCATACTTATTCAATTATGTTGCAGGTAGCTTTAATTTCATGTCGACGCCATCTAGCGGATCCTGCTGAACTAAAGTGAAAAGCTGGCGTATTTTTGCACAACTTTGAGCTTATTTATTGCTAGTGTTATTCAACTTTCAAGATAAAAACCATACTAAAATCATCTAGGAAGTGTCAAGAATCGGTATGCAAAATTTCAGCAAAATCGGTTCAGTAGTTTTCGCGGTTAGCGATCTCAACGGTTTCAGCGACTTTACTTTATAAATTAGTAAGATAACTTTACTGTACGAAGGGGTCTAAGGAGCAGATGTGATAATCGGAATTTCGTTGAAAAATTCTGATTCAGGGCTCTACAATAACAAAAAGTACTGTTCCGAGTGTGTCAGTACCGTATTTCTCGTTTAAAATTTTTTAGCAAATTGCATTTTAAATAACATAGGTTTTTAAAAAACGATTGCAGAGTCAGGTCCAAAAGTTTATAGTAAGATCAGACCTTACGTTACTTGGAAAAAATAAATAAAAATTCTATACATTGTTTTTAAAAAATAAAGATGTAAAATTATCACAGTTTTTGCAAAATGATCCGTACGTATACAAAAATAAACATATTAATGATGTATGAGCTAAAAAAAATTTTTAATTTCCATGCAAGGTACTGAAAATTGCATGTGTTTTTACTTAAGCAAACGTTGTTGATTGCTGCATGTACTCATACGGTGATTAATATTTTTTCGATGCTATAGGTAACCTTACTTTTGAATAATATTTCATTAACGTAATATCCAATTGTTACTCTTGTTTCTGTTTTCTATTTCCAACAAATAGTATGGTTATAAAATTATTTTACTAATTTGCTTATTATCATATCAGCAAGTGTATCATTTGAAACTGACGCGCGAATACCGAGGATCTGCTCATTCTAACGATAAACATTTCTTTCTCGCTTATTGCCCAATGACCACTTATGATTGAAAATTTTATAATAATGCTTCCCTCATAAGTCCCAATTTCCACTATGCAATAAAAAATCTTATAAGTTATTCTTTCACTATAAACTTTGTCCATTTTCATCTTAAGTTAAGTTAACAAGATATCACATTATATAAAAGAACGAAGAAATAACCTCCGTAAGAAGTCATGTTAAAAGTACATTTTTTAACTGATTGGTTTTCTAAAATTTAACTGGTAAAGAAATTATTATTTTGAGAGCAGATGCCTTACATTTTTATTAACAATCTTTTCAAGTATTACTGGAAGTTAAAGTGAATGGGTTACGTAAAAAACCACTTCAAGTCGCTAAGTTTGCTTGCAAATTTGGAAATTATTGATTCAGAAGTTTTTGAGATTTTTGTCAACATGATAACTCTTTCTCTTTATATGTCAATGAGGTTAGAAAATTCAAAAGGTTTATGCCAATGTTTAATCCTCAAGAAAAATTATCATAAGTAGTCGAGGTGTGTCTCTACAATCCATCGAACATAATTTGAAATAAATGAAGAACAAGCTTATAAGTAAATCTTGACAATTTATCACTAAATACGGGTGTTACAATTGTTTCGGTACACTGTACCTTCCTCAGACACAGAGGTTTATAATCTGGACTACATTCGGTTTTACAAATTATAATACCGATACATATTAGCATATCGTTAACTTGTTCATACTATATACGAACATACTCTCATTTCAAATTTAATAGAGGTGAGTCATTTAAATCTAACTGACAGTTAAGCAAACGTTCAGTGTCCCTCAAATTATTAATCGCAGCCACTTCCAAAGAATTTAACAACTTGCCTTCAATACTTTTTTAATACTTTTAGTATTTTGATAATTAAAATTAAATTTAAAACCATATTCTAGTAGTATAGTTTCTTTTTCATTGAAATCACACTTGGTTATATCTACAAATTTCTTATAGAACTAATGATCACTAAAATTATCAAAAATATTATTTTCTACTTTATTTCGCATGACATAAAACTTANATTAACTGTAAATCTCATGTGTTGGTACAGGTAAGTAGATGACATATTTTGTATTTTTATAGAATGACAGAGACAATTACAGTTATTTTTAAATTTTATTAACAAATTACACAAAAATATGGAATTCACAATAAAAAGAGAAGAAAATAATTAACTAAATTTTTTAGATTAAAAAATTAGTAGAGATCATAGCCACTTAGAATTTAGTATTTTTCATAAACCAACACATACAAATATTTTAATTCATACTAAATCATTTCACCCGTATTCGCACAAAATAGCTGCATTATATAGCTATGTGTATAAATTGTTGTTGGTTCCAATGTCACAGAATAATTATACAAAAGAATTGAATATTATTAAACAATTAGCTAAAAATAATGGGTAGGATCAAAATTTAATAGATGGAATTATTAATAAAGTATAATATAAAATTCCAGTTCAAAACGTTTACCTAATAGTAGATGAAGATAAAAATTTATTTCATGTTTGTCGGAAAGATAGCTGATTTTTTGAAAAAGAAGTTGAAGTCGTATGGACGAAATATTTTATTTAAAACGCAGAAAAGTTTAAAAACATTAATAAAATAGTAGTTTTCCTACGAGTTTAAAAAGTCTTTGTTTGCGAACTGAGAGGTTTGCGGCCCGAGCCGAAGGCGAGGTCCGTAGCGAGGTTCGTAAAGGAGACTTTTCGAACGGATTCCGGAAAACTGCTTTTTCGCCCGACGAAGTACCAGCCTCCCAAAACCACCCGAGGGCGGAAAAATAATAAAAGTAAAGCAGCACTGTCTGAAAAGTCGGGTGTATATAGCTTGCAATGTGGATTGTGTGACAAAGAGTACACAAGACAAACTGGCAGAACTTTGGCTAAACGTTTAAAAGAACATGTTAAAGCCTTTGTTAGTGGTACAGAAAAGTCAAATTATGCATCTCATCTGTTAAAATGTAATCACAATTTTTATTATGATTTTAAAGTTTTACATATAGCCACTAAGGGCAAATTGTTGAATTCTTTGGAAGCGGCTGAGATTAATAATTTGAGGGACGCTAAACGTTTGCTTAACTGTCAGTTAGATTTAAATGACTCACCTCTATTGAATTTGAAATGAGAGTATGTTTGTATATAGTATAAATAAGTTAACAATATGCTGATATGTATAGGTATTATAATTTGTAAAAACGAATGTAGTCCAGATTATAAACCTCTGTGTCTGAGGAAGGTACAGTGAACCGAAACAATTGTAATACCCGTATTTAGTGATAAATTGTCAAGATTTACTTATAAGCTTGTTCTTTCTTTATTTCAAAGTCGATTTGAATCTTCATCAAGTGACGACCAAAACTATTACATAAGATCGAAAATAATCTGATTTACGTATAATACATTGTATCGACGCTTGTCAAAGCTGTTTTTCAGTTCGTTTTTTCGTTACCATCATGAAAACTTTTCTATTTAAGTTATTGCTAATGTTCGTAGTCTATGATACATCAGAACTTGCAATTGAACTTCCGTAAAAATTTCAGATTTATTGGTAAAGTAGATTTTGAAATTTTTTCGAACATTCAGGCAAACGCTTTTTTTTACAATGGTACGATTAATTATCATACGAAACATTAATTATAAACTTAAATCTACACTTTCAATACTAACATCAATTAAAATAATTACAGAATAATTTGGATAAAATAATAAAAAAACGTCAACATAGAAATTATGTAAATACTTTTTTATTTACAATGCACAATCATCACTTTTTGCTTTTTAATTTTTCTGATAAATCATCGAAGGTTGGATCTTGTATATTAAGCATCAAACTGTTTCCACTTAAGTAAACTCGATTTTGAGAGCTAGATATCTGTAACAAATAAGGTAATTTTAATTTTCAAGCGATAAGAATATTTTTTATTCATTGTTTTTTTCAAATTTTTTGGAGAAAGTATGGAAATGTTAGCATTCAATGGAATCTACAAAATCACAAATGTTACATCGCAAACCAGTATGTACACGACCAACTCATTAACTAATACTTTTGATACTTAAATGTAAATACTTTGGTTTATAACCCACCATAAAAGGAAAATTTACAGCAACTGCTGCTTCGCGCACTCATACAAAATATTTTCGAGAATTCTTTAATAAATAGTTTTTAAGTGCACAAATAGTATTGACTGTTTGATTATAAATTTTTTTTCACTTCGTAGTACGTTGATTTTCACAACTCTAAAAAGCGGTGTAAGGTATTTCTATTTTAAAACAGAGACAGCTTATAGGACACAGTCAAATTGGATGAAAGTAAGAATTTCTATTTCAAAAAGAAGATGGCTTGTAGGACACAGCTAAATTAAATGAGAATAAAAATTTCTATACTAACAGGAAGATGGCTTGTAGGATACAGCTATATGAGATTAGCTTTAACGTGCATTTAATTGTCTGTTTAAACAGTAGTCTTTAATCAAAGTCTGTAACAGCACATTTACTTATTTTATTTACAATGATACTTGTAAAGAAAGATAAAAAGCAACCTTGGTACTGAACTCAATACATTTGAATGATACAAAGATGCAAGGATAAAAGAAGCATTAGTACTGCATATTGAATGCAATATTAGATTCACTTAAGAAGCATTTATGAATGCAGACGGACCTAGCTACTGAAAATTTACCTACAAACAAAGCTAGGTATCCTGATTCAAACTTACAACGGTACAGTGATGTGGGGTGCCAAGTACAACACTTTTCCTCAGTGTAAGATCATCTCTGCAAACGTTACTCTTTATCCTCACACTGTTAAAGCACGTACGTTATGTATCCCGAGACAAACTTTTCGCGCGATATTCAGCAAAATATCCTACAAGATATGTTACAAGATATACTAAAAGAAATATTATAGAATTTCATGTGAGATTTCTTGCACGATTTTCTGCATAATATGATTCACGATATCAAGCAAGATTTTGCACGACTACAATATAAATAGGTATAAATTTTCTGCTTAAAAGGTGTTAGAATAGCTAATATATATGGTAGATAATAAAATAGTAGAGTTTATTTGAAAAATAATAATGTTCATAAATGAATCGTATATTTTTTTTTCAAATTTATTCTTAAATAATAATTTCTTCTTGAATACAACTAATTACAAGCCCATTATTAATATTATTATGAAATAAATAAATTAAAAAGTTGCTCAACATTTACTATATAGTTTTAAAATGACCGTCATTTGACGGTCCGTCCGAGTGATCGGGCCATTTTACATAGAAGAAGGTGGGGAAAACTTTTGGACGGACATTGACGGTCTTTTTTCATTATTTTTTTGTGACATGACCAAAAATAAAAAAAACGGTCATTTTACAACACTAGATTTGTCCGTCCGGTTGGCAAAACACTGTATTAGTCAAATGGGCGTCTATAGTGTCAGAAAGCCAGACGAAGTCGTGCCTCTAAAAGGCCTTTGCTATTTCATGGTTTAGTACTCGAGGTCAACTTAAGGTAGAAAATCCGTGGACCAAGTTAGTCAAGCGAGTAAAGTGAGTCATTTACCGTATTATGACAGTCTTATAGGCTATGGCTGTATGCTTTTGTAATGGGAAAAATATTAATCAATACGTTAAATGATTAATGATGATGATTCAAGGCATTGTTAACACGTTAACTGATTAATGATGATGATTCAAGGCATTGTTAACACGTTAACTGATTAATAATGAATTAAGGCATTGTTAACGTTGACTTGCTGGAATAGAATCGAAATACGAAGATATATCATTTATTCTATTTCAATAGATGATGTAATTATTTTATTTTTAGTTATAGTAGCGACTAATCATATTGTAAATTTCTTTTTTAACTACTTTCCCTACCTATTTCTCACTTTTGTCGTCACCAGCATTTTTACATACAGCTTTTCACGCCAATTCATAACACAGGACCACAAACCCCAATAAAAAATTGACGCACATACTGTGACGTATTCCTTATGTATTTTGGGCCACTGGATTCAAATCCGTCGAGCATTTTGCTCCATCACGTCAAGATTTTTCGGAAATCGGGAAAATATGTGAAAAATCAATTTTTCCAGCTCACCAGAACGTTACTCTAATTTGAAACAAAATAAATATGTACTAAATCATTGAAGTAAAAACCATAAGTAAATCAAAACAAAAACCACATAATTCTTACTCCAAGAAACCCTTACTGACCTAGTCTGCCCACTCCTAAGCAGGCTTAACCACTCAACCCTGGGGATAGCTGAATTTTTTATTTTCCTTTTTGTCATGGTCACGTCAAAGGGCCAACTTTACTCCCGGAGTGGAACGGGACCGTTGTCATTTTAAACCTACTGATGACGAAAATTAGTATTTTGCCCTAGAGGTAAAAGGAAGTCAGCACATATCTCGCGATTGCTATGAACTGCATTTTTGCGAGGTCTGAACTGACGTTCCCTTTTACCCCACTTGTGTATCATATAGTATTTCTTAATGAAATTATGTTTGAACCCTGAGCATACCTACCTTTTTTCTTCCAACTATTTTGACGCTCTAAACACCTGATCCTTACTTCAAGCAACCCTTACTGACCCACGATACCCACCCCTAAGCAGGCTAAACCACCCAACCCTGGGAAATGCTGGATATTTTTTTTTTTCATTTTTATGTTAATCAAAGCTAGAAACGGTCAACTCATCTAACTTTGTAGGCATTAATTTAATAAACTTAATCTGTTTGTACTATTTCATTGTTCATAGTTTAGTTATTCTTAGAAAATTTTATTACATTTCAGTAAACTTGCTTTTAGTCTAGGTCAGGAATAACTAACGTGAAGGTGGCAAGTATCTTTTCCCTTATTGTTTTTTTTTGTTTTGTTTTGTTTTTGTATTAATTTCTAGAAATTTTAAACAATATTTGTTATAAATTAAAGGAATTGATTGATGATTAAGAAAGGTTAACTGTTAATTGATATTTTTTTTTATTGGAATAACGTGTTTTTTTTGTTTCGATCGATCTTCGAATGGCTTTTTTTATGAGCTATATTGGTATCTCGCTGTAAACACCAGCTGTAGTCTGCAAGCATGCTCTTATTCCACACTTCCTGGTATCGTCTTTTAACGTCTTAGAGATCTTGATGACATCTCTTACCCTGTTCCTCACTGAAATCACCTAAATTTTCTGAAAAGTAGTCCACGTAAGAGTCAAAAAAATGCAATTTTAAATTCATTAAGCACCCCATACCTTGAAATGCGGTAACCATATTTCTTACTATCTCTTTGTATTTTGGATTTTTTCTGTTACCTAAAAAAGATGTGCATACCCCTTTGTAGCTTTGCCAAGCAACTCTTTCCTTCTCTGTCATAATATCTTCGAAATTCTCGTCATTAAAAACGGTTCTGATTTGCGGACCGTCAAATACGCCTTCTTTTATTTTTGCATCAGAAAGACTAGAGAACTTTTGGAAAAGATACAAAAATGCATTAGCATTTTCTTTTTTCATGGCTTTTACCAATTGCTTTATTAAACCTAATTTTATGTGAAGAGGTGGAAGTAGTACTTTTTCAACAGGTAATAAATTTTTTTTTATGATATTTTTAGATCCAACTTTCAAATTGTTTCTTGCAGGCCAATTTTTTTAAATGTAATGATCCTCTCGAGCACGACTGTCCCATTTACATAAAAAGCAAGGAAATTTTATAAATCCACTTTAATATCCTAGTACGATCGTCAATATTTTTAAATCTCCACATAACTACCATTTGTGTTTATTGTATTGCAATTTAGTCAAAATATACTTTACACTTTCATATTCTTCTTTTAATATAGTTGAATGTCCGACTGGTAAAGGAGCACACTTATTTTCATTATGAAGTAAAACTGCCTTGAAACTCCTGGTAGATAAATCGAGAAAGAGCCGCCATCCATCTGCTTCATATTCAACACATTTATATTCATTTATTAAATTTGTGACATCGTTACAATAAACTAAATTGTTTTCTCTAGAAAAATATTTTCGAAAAGAAATATCCCTGTCACTATAAAACGAAACTTTTGTTCTTTCAGTTAACAATTTATTTCTTTTAATCTTGAAGCCAAAAGTTCAGAGTTTTCTTTGGAAAGTCCCAAATCTCGACATAGGTCACTTAATTCATCTTGATTAAATTTTCCACTGGCTGGATTCTCTTTGTCTGTTAGTTCGAATTCAATTGTATGCGACTCTGCAGTTGTTGTATTATCCATTTGTAATTCTTCCTGATTTTGAGAAAAATTAGATGATTCTGATTTAACCCGTGGATTAAGAATTTCTGAACCATTAACTTCAGAAAAGAAGTTTGAACTCCTATTATTTCCAGTTATTGGAAAAGTTACAGACGATACTTTTAGATACACAATATTACCAATATTTTTTAAATTGTAACCGAAAATATTACAGGAACAGAAGTAACAATCTGTCAAATGATTACTCGGATTTCTCCAACGCATATAAACTGAAAAAGGTTTAACATTTATATTCCCTTTTGCAACCTTAGAAATTTGATTATGACAACTACTGCATATAACATGAGGAGTCCAGTCATTAGCCAAAGTTTCCTTTGAAATTCCAAAGCATTTTTCATAATTTTTTTTTTTTACGTCTGCAGTGCATGTTTTCCTATTGCGTTGTAATGTGTAACACCCACATAAAACGCAAAAGCAATCTCTGTTTTTACAGAGAGACATGGTAATCGAAGTATTTTACAAGTAAAATAATAAAAAAAGTAAAATTTCTACACAAAATACTAATGTATTTGTAGGTACTATTTGATAACACTAAAATAAAAAAGAAACACTTAGTTTATTTTGAATTAACGATTCAGAAAACTTAT